TGGCAGGCCAAGGTGGGTGAATTACCCAAGATCAGGAGTTTAAGACCAGCCTGGCCAACATGATGAAATCCTGTCTCTACTAAAAAAAATAGAAAAATTAGCGGGGCGTGGTGGCATGTGCCTGTAATCCCAGCTACTTGGGAGGCTGAGGCAGGAGAATATCTGGAACCTGGGAGGTGAAGGTTGCAGTGAGCCAAGATCATGCCACTGCATCCCAGCCTGGGTGACTGAGAAAGACTCTGTCTCAAAAAAAACAAAAACAAAAACAAAAAACTAAAATTAAAAATAAATAAATTAAAAACTATCCTTGGACCAATGATGACATTGAAGAATAAAACAAGCATTAGAATAATTCAAAATCTTTTCACCTTATATGTATATGCCCGAGAGAAAGAGGATGAGGAGAAAAAGAAGATGACGGAAAGAAGAAGGGGAAGGGAAAGGGATATTGGGGTCCATTTGACTCTATACAAACAGCCACGACTTTTGTTTTAATATACATAGTCCTAAAAGCCGGCCAGTGTATGATAAGCTTCCTTCCCAAATCACTCTTGATTTTGAACTTCCAAAAATAGGCAAAGCCATTCAACTGATGGAATTGAGTTTACAATCACCTGATTCTTTCTTTCCAGCCTGTGATCATTTTTCTCCTAGTTCCCATGCTCCTCCATCTTCACCAGAGTTCTTCCATTTAGTCCTTCATATTTATTTCCGATTCTTCCCTCCCTTGCTCTGTGCTCCCAGCAGCAGATGACCTGTATGGATTACCTCCTGGCTTCTTGTTTGCTATGAGCAATGAAGAGCTTAATCCGGGGATCAGAGGAAGGGAAGGAAGTGGACCAATTTTCCCCACATTCCATCTCTGGGCAGGTCATGGAAGCTTGGCAATTTATTAAACCAGGGGGTCACATCAGCTATCCGCTGACTCCCTCAACATAGCACTTTCTGCCTCCAGGGTCCCCTCATCACTCTTTCCTCATCTCTTCAGGCTTGAGGGTGTAAACAGGACTTCTGTTACCTGCTGTCCCTAGTCCCGGTTACTTCTCTGTCCCTCCTGTTTGCCTACACTCTGATGATCTTAGCTTTGTAAATAGAATTTTTATTAAAACTCTCTTCTAATTAGCAAATTTGAGTTTGCCATCCTTTTCCTGCCAGGAACCTGACTGATACAAATTTAAACTCAAGTTCCAACTACTTCCCTCCTCCCAGAATCTCCTACTTGCTGCCAGGGCCAAAAACTGAGTAGTTGTCCTGATAGAAGCATGAAATCCTAATGCCTGCTACCAGTCATGAGGCCATGTCAGAAAACACCAATAACTTCTATCTGTAATGCTCAATAAATGAAGCTCCAGGGTCAGGGATAAAACAATGATAGATGCAGGAGTCAGGTAAGAGGTCAGGTCCCTGGAGAATTTCCAAACCGCCTGAGCACTGAGAGTATCGGGTGGAGTCATGGGAAGTTCCCGCTGCGTGCAGTGGGGAGGAGCGTGGCCTCTTCAGTTCCTGTGTGGTGGCCTGGTCTTCAGTCTGTAAGGTGGAGGCCTGCTAGCAGCACTCCCTCTGGCTTTGCTGAGAGTTCCTCTTTCTTTTCTTCCTTTTCACCCAATAAACCCTGTGCTACTCACTTTTCAATGTGTCAGTAGGCCTAAATTTTCCTGGTTTTGTGGCAAGATCCAGGTATTTTCTGCAACAACACGAATTTAATTTTCAGAGTGGGGAGTGAGTGGCAGAAATGCAAGAAATCAGGCTACCCATCAATATTGTAATGTGAGATCTTTTGGGGAGTGTCTACACTAAAAACATAAAATGATAGAAAATTATCATAATAAAATACACATAAAAGCGAAAGACTCAGAAAGGAGATATGTAGATATAGAAAACAAAGAGGGAAATCTCAGCCACAGCTGTGAGTGGAGGCTGAAACAGAGTATTTCATGGAGATCCTGGTAGAGGATACAACACACTAAAGAAACTAGAATGATTCTAAGCAGACCTGCAGTGATGTGCTGGAGCAACTCCTATGGCTTGCAAGAGCCAATTGTTCTATGAATTTTCAAATCAGTTGTTAAGCATAGCCATTATAAAAAATTAAATTGTGTAAACTTACAATTAATATTAAAATAAAAGATACATATGAAAAACTCATTACTTCTTATTTTACTACATGTTACAATTGTTCTAGCTCTTGAGGTTATTTGCATCTATGTAAATGTGTATTGGAAACGTTACTTAAGGGTGATCTACTACATATCTCTTCCCAACTCTGCATTCACTGAGAGCACACTGGTGACTTGCAATTGGCTACAGTGGGAGGATCATGCTACGGAAATTACTAAATGTTATAAATCAGGGCATATCTTATTGCTTTGTTGATTGCCTAGATCAGAGGTCAGAAAATTTTTCTTCAAGGCAAATAGAAAATATTTCAGGTTTTCAGATTATACAGTATCTATCACAATTATTCAGTTCTGCCATTGTAAGCTAAAGTTGCCATAGATAATGTACAATTAAAATAATATGGCTGTGTTCTAATAAAGTTTTATTCATAAAAAAAGGTTTCAGGCCCACTGCTTTTATCTGGTTCGTGTTCAATCTGTGATGGGGACCACTGGAGATCAGACTGCCCCCGGAGTTGAAGGTCACCAGAACCAGTTTCACAAATGGTCCAACAAGACTAATGGGTCCTGGGGCTCAAACTTCTGGCTCCAGGGACTCAAACTGCCATTACTGCATAGTATTTGGTATTGGGAAAAGCTTTCCTTTCTCTCTTTCCTTCCCTAAGCTCAAACCAGGAAGGGCCTTACACCATTCTCCTTTCAACTGCCTTTGCAGTAAAAGTTACAGGTATCGACTGCTGTATACATCACACTTGAGTCAAAGCTTGGAAAGCTGAGGAAGGAACCCCTGACAGCCTAGAGAAATGTCCTGGATAGCAATGTGAAGAAATAGGAAATAGTAAGCTAAAAATCATAAAAGTTAAGTAAATGAGTGAGAGCTACTCATCCTGCTCAGTCCCATCCCTACCTAACCAGATGCTTCAGCCATTTTAATTTTCCTCTCATGATTTGCCACCAGATATTAGAACTTCTTTTTAGTGCATACTTACAGAAAGATTTTGATTGTTCATGGGATTACATTTGTAACTTCATAGACCTCAAAAGGGAAACTCTATATCTTGGTGAGTAAAATTTTAGATAGAAATTATCTACTACCCCATCCTTACAGGAATTGTTATACTCACTCTACAGTTTGCAGTAGGACTATATACTGTAGCACCCCACAGTGCGATATCAAACAAAGAATCTCCATTGCCATAGTGTTTTGCTTAATTATTATTCTTAGAGCAAGGATAATAGTTACCAACAAGAAATAACTATGAAGTTTTACTGTTACTTAGTCTGCTAGGACTTTTTATTGAGTTTGGTAATATGTCAAACCTTTTAGTTCCTTTGATATCAACCATCCACCCTAGCTATGCAGGGAAGGTTACAAAGAAAAGAGATTTTATGCAAGAAAGGATGCTGTATGGTAAATTCTTGTCCTGAAGAAAATAGGTGGTTGTTTAAAAAGAGGGATGTTTAGGACAAGTAAGAAAGCTTAAGCATGTCATAGATGCTCTGCATAAGTTGGAAAATGATTAATAATTACGGGGAAAATTTAGTCAAAGTTAACACTAAAGTTACTCTAGCCACCCAATTCAACACCACTTGTCCTAAAAAGAATATTACTTTTATATTAACGTTTCTGGTAAAGTACAGCAACAACATCTGGTGAAGGCAAAACAGTACTACAACTCACTGGAATGGCTTGCAGGTGTCAAATAAACTCTACTGTCATGGTTGTGGGCTAGAGCACCTCCACTAGTAATGGTAATCTCAATACTCATATTAGAACCCTATATTCTAAAGCTTGTAAAATTTATCTCTTCTATCCTAGAAGCTATTCAATTCCAAATGGCTCTGCAGATGGAACCACACATGGACACATCATTTTTCTGAGGGCCCTTAGATCAACTGCAGGAGGAGCTCTGGCTGCTGTTCCCCATATGGCACCCCTTTACAGCAGGAAGTGGCCAGAAAAGTCATTGTCCAATGCCCCCTAACAACAACTAGGGATACCACTCCTGAAGGGGGAAATATGACACAGAAGCTAAAAAAATTATTTAGGCAGAGGCCAGGCACAGTGGCTCACACCTGTAATCCCAGCACTTTAGGAGGCCGAGGCAAGTGGATCACAAAGTTAGAAGTTTGAGACTAGCCTGGCCAACATGGTGAAACCCAGTCTCTACTAAAAATACAAAAATTGGGAGAGCATGGTGGTGCACACCTGTGATCCTGGCTCCTCAGGAGGCTGAGGCAGGAGAATTGCTTGAACCTGAGAGGTGGAGGTTGCAGTAAGCTGAGATTGCACTACTGCACTCCAGCCAGGGTGACAGGGCAAGATTCCATCTCAAAAAAAAAATTTAGGCAGATAGTGAGGGTAAGAGAGTCCTCAGCAGGGTTTCCCTTTTAACAAAAAGCAGCTTCAAAATAATTTCTTTTTCTAACAAAGAGCAGCCTGAAAATAGAGCTGCAGACATAAGGAAGCTGGAAGCTTGCATGGGTGAATGCTGGCAGCTGTGCCAATAGAAAAGGGCTACCTGAATTCCAGGCAGGTTCAACATGGAGGCTCCATCTTCCCTTTACTTTGTTACCACGTGTACATTAAAAAGCAAGCAACATGGCACCAGCCAGGCAGAGAACAATTGGCATAATAAAATATTAGGGTGGCATGGCCAGCTTCTTCACATGCTATGCAAATAGCACACCTGGTCCAACTAATCTTTTGTGCCCTATGTAAATCAGACACCACCTCTTAATGCTAGTCTATAAAACCCCATTCATTTCACCACAGAACTGGCTACCCATTTTTTCCAGGACACCTCTACTCAGGAGTTTTTCTCTTTCTTTCACCTATTGAACTTCCACTCTTAACCTCACTCTGGTGTGTCTGTGTCCTAGTTTTCCATGGCTGTGGGACAATGAACTTCATGTATTACCCCAGACAATGACATCGATTCAGCAGGACTGCCACCAAGATTCCAGAACTGTAGAGCTACCAACATCCAAAGAGCTTGGAAAAGACAGGATGCCTGACTCTAATCCAGAAGAACAGCCACTTGTGGAGTGCAACCAGCAAAGCCATGTGGGCAGGGCTGCCTGAGGACTTGAGGGCCCAACTCCTGCCACAGTGTGCTCAGGATGAGGGACACAGGCTCGGAAGAGATTATTTCCAGCTTTAAAACGGAGTGTCTTCCCTGTTGGGTTTTGGACTTCCTTGAGGCCTGTTACTCCTTTCTTCTGGTCTAATTCTCCTGTCTCAGCATTGTATCTTAGCGGTAGATAACTGGTTTTAATTTCACAGGCTCACAGATAGGGATTATTTTGGATTTCTGAGTTGATACCAGAACAAGTTAAGACCTTAGGGATCTGGGGATGGAATGAACGTATTTGCATGTAAGAAAAATACGAGTTTTGTTGGTGAGGGCAGGGGTGAAATGCTATGGCCTAAATGTTTATTCCCTCTAAAACTCATGCTGAAACTCAATCCCCACTGTAACGGTATTAACAGAGTGGAAAATCAGACTATGATATTTCAGGGGTGGAACCTTTTGCAAGGCAATCATTTGTAAGGATCTATTAAAGTAACTCCCCTTCATTTTTATCAATAGCTATTCTGTATATTTATTACTCTTGAAAAAAATTAGAAATATTTTGTTAACAAAACTATCTTAGTGATACTCAGATTAAAGCATCACAAAGTCTGTGTATTTTGTTTGGAAAATTGACACAAATTGTCCTGTTCAAGAGTGCGGTACTTTTATTTATCAAACTTCTTTCTTTCCTTAGGTAAACTTCTGTTCTTTTCTGTGGGTTGCACACATGACTAGTAGACTGCTTTGATATTTTCTATATTTATTGCTCTTTTAAGTGATTTTTTTTTTCTGGGACAGACGTATTGGCTTACTCTGCCAGAGACAAGTGATGCTGCTTTACTTCTCATTGACTGGAGAGAAAAGTATTTAGTGGTTTAACTTAAGCACGGCTTCATGGACCTTTTTTTTTAAAGCAGCATCCCATATTTGGTTACACTCTGGTCTAGTAACCACTTCCTTTAAGCAAGACAACCTTCTCCACCTGCAAGAGCCAGGCATGTGATTTAAAAAAACTTTCTTTGTGGTCACTTAGTTATTCTTCTTCCTGCTTTGAGTGTTTGTGCTGCTAGTTTCATGTATTCACTTCCAACTAAAGCCATTCTTTACAACTTATTATAGTAAGTTTTGATTCACAGAATATTTTAGGCTGTTCTACAGTATAATAATTTCCCACAAATGTAAAGAATATAGTTCTAAGTATCAATAAAAAAACATGTAGAGTACTCATATTTAACTTTCAAAAGGTAGTATTTCCATAGGTGCTTTCAGGATAATAAAAGCTGATTTGATTGATACAGACTTATGGGACAATACGCGAGAAGCCGGCTCTGCTCCAAAGAATAGGATGAAAGGTGGGCAGGGAGGATTTATATGGTTTGAATTCCAGACACACAACCTAGTTGCCTAATTTGGCATCATCCACCAGCTTGAATATTTTCATGAGATTCTATCTTACATCTCTGGTAATACTAAAACAAAAAATCAGGACCACTTCAAGTAAGTCTAGCTCAGGAAAAACCATTAAAATAGTTATATTCTCCATTAATTTTTTTCTACAATTATTTTTTCTTCTTTTTGTATTAATTATAATAGGCCAGAATGCTACAATAACTAGACTCATAAGTGTATGATGGCCGAAATACAGTAGAATTTTACAACTCACTAGTGTAATAGTAGGAAGACCCTGATGATTTGTGAGTAGCTCTTCTCCAGCTGGTGATTCAGGGATCCAAGCTACTATACTCTAATATGGTGGCTTTCATTTTTTTTTTCCTGTGAAAATTAACATACTTTAATTTTTGTTCAAGAAGGGAGGTCAGGAAGAGTGTCCAGTTGTGATCTAGGAGATTAAGGCAAGACAGTTAGTGAAATTTGCTACAGTGTCCACTATGTTGTCATTATGACTGTAACTAATATTCATCTCCTTCACAAGCTGCTCCTGAGTCCCCTCATCCTCTGAATTTAGTATAGTTTGTTTTTCTGTTTGTGTGACAGAGTCAATTTTTCCAGAAGGGTCTATACTATTATTTACCCTGTCCCTGCTGGATTTTGATTGTTTTAGTGTCTACTGCTAGTCATTACCATTGCATAAAAGTATTAAAATATTATTGCTGTATTTTTCTCTAATTTGTTCCTGAGACATCTCTCATGAGAATGGCTATCAACTCTAGTTCTCCTTTAATGAAAAGAAATATGCATGGGCTCAACAACCAGGACTACAGTCAACAGCTAACAAGGATCATCTTCTTAATAGCATTGCTGAGTTCCACCCTGCTAGCAGTAGACGATGACACTGAACTCACCCTATGGCCCCATTACTTGAGGAGATCAGCCAGCCAACTGGTGTCAGGTTGATTGTATCAAAACCTTCCACCTAGGAGGGAAAGTGATTTATTCTTTCTGGAATTGGTATACACTTTGGATATGGATTTGCTATTCTCACCCACATTGCCTCCAAAACCACTGCCATTCAAACATTTACAGGATGTTATGTTTAATATTGCTCAAGACTAAAAAACCCATTTAGTAACAAAGAAGATGTAGCAACAGGATAATGGTATATACCCCATTCCATAGGTGTAGCCAGTCCAAAAGAATAATTGAGTGGTGCTAGCTGGAAGACACTGCCCTCTAGGATGTTGTCTTTGACTGTTTGTGTTGCTGTAACAAAACACCACAGACTGGATAAATTACAAAGATTAGAATTTTATTTTCTCACAGTCCTGGAGGCTGGAAAGTCCAAGATCAAGAGGCTAGCATCTAGTAAGAGCCATCTTGCAGTGTCCTCACATGGCAGAAAGTGAATCACATGGTGGAAGGTGGAAGGGCAAGGGAGCACTTCCCTTGACCTTGAGTCCTTTTGTAAGGGCCCTAATCTTATCTTTGAGGGTCATGTCCTCATGACTTAATCATCTTTTAAAATGATCACATTAGAGACAATAGGGTTAGACTTTAATATATAAATTTTGGAATTTTGAGTCATGTGGTTTGTTGAATTGTCTTCTTTTTGTCTTACCTAACAAACACATTGAAATTTAACTTCTCTCCCAGATAGAGCTGTCCTAGAGAGTAAAATTTTGGCAGAAATAAACTGGACACAGGTCAGAAAAAAACCACAAAAGTGCATTCCAGTATAAACAAGTTTCCTGTGAGAGGAGCCCTTGGTTACAGATCAGACACAGGCATTAGACTATCTTCCAGGACAAAGAAGCATCCCATGAAAGGCACACTGTAAACCTCCCACACAAATTCTCTGGAGCTCCAGCAAAGCAGAACTAGTTCATAGCTGTTCTCATGAGAGAGACCTCAAGACCAAATTAGGTGAAAATACAATAAGTACTAAAACAATTATAATCCATCAAGGAGAGGATAAACAAGAGCATAAATCCTTCTGGGATTATATAGTCTCTATCACCAAATGAGAATGACCATCTAATTTTTAAACCTGCTGAAGTCTAGTTTTAAATGTAATACTTCAATTGCATGATAGATTGTGGTTGGTATGCCCAAACTTACGATTCTATGAATCTTATAACTCTCAGCATTATATGGACAGTTTAAGTCACACGGTCACTTAGTGTATTAAATGCCTATCAGGAAGAAATGCACACGTGGTTGTAGTTTTAGAACAGATGAGTTCATGCAAAGTTACTGTTAGATAAGTTTTCCAGTGGTTATAATCTGGAACATGTAATATGAATGAAGCGATCAGAAGAGTTTGACTTGTGACTTACACTTTAGATCATGATAGAGTAATTGGTGAGGTCAACACTTTGTATGTCCTGGGCAGCTTTCTTAAGCTTTGGGAGACTGACTCACAATGGAGCTGAGGCTTCTTCTGTCCCTTGCTACTGATCTGTAAGTAATAAACCTGCTTCACATAACTTGTGTGTGGACATATTCTATTTCATCAGACTCAGACAAATAGGTAACCAGTGCATGGTGGACCTACATAGTAGCTCAGGATGCAGTGGAAAGAAGTAACTGGATCTCTTTTCCTGGTGGTTGGCATAGTTATGATCTTTGCTATTCTCCACACAGTGGTATAGGTAATTAGTAAACCTGCTTCCTAAACTGTGATTAATATACTAAAATCTCTTATGGAAAGGTAGACAACATGCTAGATTAGACAGGCAATTTTGGCAGAGATGGAAACTATGCAAAAGAATAAAATTGAAATAAAATAAAACTACATTAACATAAATAAAGAATACATTTGACAAGCTCATCAGCAAACTTGACACAACTCTGGGAAGAATCAATGAATTTGAAACAGATCAATAAAAATTATTCAGAGTGAAACACAACAGAAAATAGCAGTAAAAGTAAATTTAAAAAATAGATCAAGTGTGGTAATCCCAATAGTTTGGGAGGCCGAGGTTGGAGGATTGCTTGAGTCCAGGAATTTGAGACCAGTCTGGGAAACATGTGGAGACACCATCTCTACAAAAAATACAAAAATTAACTGAATGTGGTGGATAGACCAGTAGTCGCAGCTACTTGAGAGGCTGAAGCGGGAGGATCATTTAAGCTTGGAAGGTCAAGGCTGCAGTGAGCTGTAACTGCACCATTGCACTCTAGTCTGGGCAACAGAGTGAGACCTTGTTTCTAAATAAATAAATAAGTGATTAACACTTTTTTCAGGCAGTGGACACTCTGTTCCCCCCTCACACCGCTCCCCCCACCCACCCATACACACACATTCTTTTTTGTCTCTTTGCATTTCACTTTGGGTAATTTTTATTAGGTACCTTATTGAATTGTTTTTAACATATTATTTTGGTTGGCTTTATTTTTCAATGTTGTATTTTGAAATAATTATAGATTCAGGGGAATTTACCAAGATAGTAAATTTCTGATTCCCTATACCCTTCATCCAGTTTTCCCCAATTGTCACATCTTATATAACGAAAGTACAATATCAAAACCAGGAAATTACCCTGACATATATTGTCAAATGATTTTCAATAAGGTGCCAAGGGCATTAAATGGGGAAAGGACAGTCTTTTCAACAGTGGTGCTGGGAAAACTGAAGTCCACATACAAAAGAATGAAATTGGATTTTTACCTTACATCATAGACAAAATGAACTCAAAATGAATCAAAGACCTAAAACCTTAAACTATCAAACTATTAGAAAAAAACATGAAGGAAAGTCTTCATGACATTTGATCAGGCTATGATTTCCTGGACATAACACCAAAGACATAGACAAGAAAAGAAAAAAATAGATAAATTGGACCTCATAAAATTAAAACTTCTAACTCAGGAGAGGAAAAACAAATACCATATGTTCTCACTTGCAAGCTAGAGCTAAGCTATGGGTATACAAAGGCATGTGGAGTGGTAAAATGGACGTTGGAGACTCAGAAGTGGGGAGGATGGCATGGGGATGAAGAGTAAAAAACTACATATTGGGTATAATTTATGCTACTTGTGTGACAGTTGTACTAAAATCTCAGGCTTCACCACTATACAATTTATCCATGTAACAAAAAGTCATTTGTAC